ACGGGTTGTGGCAAATCCTCGCTTATGAACGCATTGTTTCGCTTGAATCACATCACAAAAGGAAAGATACTGATAGACGGCGCGGACATCACTAAAATACCCACTCATCTGCTCCGTAGCCGACTGTCGGTCATTCCTCAGGATGTGGTCCTCTTCTCGGGAACCATTCGGTGATAATATAGTTAAAGATAATATTATAGACAGTTTTGTAACCAATTATTATGTCTTCAGCGATAACATGGATCCCAACCACTCGATCTCAGACGACAAGATATGGTCGGTATTGAATGAACTGAATCTGAAGCACAGCATCGGCTCTCTGGAGGAGATGATCACCGAAGAGGGTCTGAATCTGAGCGCCGGCCAGAGGCAGATGCTGTGCATCGGTCGGGCCCTCCTTCGGGACTCGCAGATACTTATTATGGATGAGTCGACCTCAGCGTTGGACGAAGAGTCGGAACAACTGATACTGGATCTGATACACAAGTCTAATAAGACTGTCATTAGTATAGCACACAAGTTGTCCAATATATTGAATTACGATAAGATTGTTGTTGTGGACAACGGACTCATCGCCGAAAGTGGTTCACCGAAAGAGTTAATTAACCGCAAAGACTCTCATTTTAATACACTTTTGCACAAACAATACAAACCCATGGTTTTCAATGGCGTTTAATTAATTAATTAAATTAATGTTTATATTAATAATAGTGTTTTAATTTAATTTATGTATCCATATATCACCACATCTTATGATATCATCATTTTTAACATTTGTTTACTAACTTAATTAATTGTTTGTGTAATTAATGTGTTTTATATTAATTTAAAATAACTCTTTTTTAGATATTTCGCGTATTTTATAAATGCATTTAAAATTTTATCTAATTTTTAGATAACAAACAATATCTCAATTATTATGTAAATGGCATGAAATGATGGGTAGTTAATAATTATAACATTTACCATGTAAATTATAATGTTTTACAATTAATTTAATTTATTAATTTTTAATCATTATCGCAATTATATTGTTTAGTATAACTTTTTATTTATTTGTATTTTTAACATATTTTCTATCGAGTTTTGAAAGAATTTCAATTCAATAAAATCAAAAATGCATTATTAAAGTCATTTCAATTACAAATGATATTAAATACTGTTTTAACTATTATGAACAAAATAATTGTATTGTCATTAAACTGTCCTAGATTTTAATACTCGGATTACTATTAGTTGCAATTATTTCATTTCAAAATTATAACAATTCTTAAAAATATCTGCTAATTGCAAAAAAACATCCTGGACAATTTGCTTTTCAAAATGCAATACAGGACGTATTGAAAGGACTATCAATCATATAAAGTATATATTACATATCTATAACACTACAAATTAGTACAAATATAATTAATTTTCAAATGAAATAGCATTTAATCATTAAGAAATTGAATATTTGATGAAATCAATTAAAATTCTTGTTATGTATATTTATAAAAATTATTTGTTTTTTAAATTTGTGAAATGCGTGAAATATTCTAGTTACAAGTTAAGTACACTTATTTTTATTTACTATCATATAAATAGAGGAGATTTTATTAAACACTATTTAGAAATCAATAAAATTCATTTACTTAATTAGTGTTTTCAGCTAGTGTAAACTATCATGTTTATAACAATCATTGATATGATTATAAATTCTTGGCTATTATACGGCACTATACCAATTATTATAATTATTTATTGGTAATTCACCAAAGATGAAATTAGGCTCAAATTATCTAACTTATTTATCGAGTTTTATTTGAAAAATTGAAATTGAAAAACGTTTCCTAATATAATTATTTTTATTATCTTACTTTATTATATTATTTGCTATAAATTCAAAATTATAGCCTATAATATAAACTTTTTATTTGTGTTTTCTATAGGTATTTGATCAGGAATTTTAATTATTTTACCAAATTGGGAGTAAAAGGCCCTAGACCATTACCTATATTTGGCAATTTATGGGAGCGATTGTTTACTTCACTCCCAGAATTGGATATCAAATGGCAACAAAAATATGGCAAAATCTATGGGTAAACAAAATAATTGTTTTAAAACATATTGATTATTGAAATTAACTGTCATTGTTGTTAAATATGTTGTCATATACAGGGTATACGAGGGAACAGCACCCATATTAATGGTGTCGGACCCGGAGCTCATCAAACATATTCTGGTCAAAGATTTTGACATATTTGCGGACCGATACCCAAATTCTAAAAGCAATAAACACCCGATTATTGGCAAAATGTTGACTGAACTTCGGGGCGACGACTGGAAGAGAGTCCGATCCATAACCAGCCCTGTATTCACTTCCCTTAAATTGAAGGCAATGTATCCAACGGTGAGACAGTCTGTGGAGGGGTTTGTCAACACTTTGGACACGTATGCGAAAGACGAGGGAATGATCAACGCTAAGGATATGTTTGGTTGCTATACAATGGATGTCATCTCAAACTGCGCTTTCGGTATCAAAAGCGATGCTTATAAAGACCCAAACAATCCGTTTGTAGTGAACGGAAAAGTCGTTATCGAAGTTCCCGTTTGGAAAGTATTATTACCGGAGTTTGTGTTAAATATGTTGAATATAAAGACATTTTTTAGTGAAAAGTCAGTCACTTTTTTCTCTCCAATCTTACGACAAATATTGAAAATAAGAGGGAAATCAAAGCCTAAATCCAATGATTTTATTGATCTTATGATAAGTGTTAGGAAAGGAAAGGATGGACACGAAGCCAACTGTATTGATGGCGGTTTGGATACATAATTATAATTATTTAATGTTATATAATATTAATTATATATTTATTTATTACTTATAATTTAGGCGAAGAAGAGTCAGGTATTGAGAAGAAAATACTAGATATAAAAGCGCCGAATAAATTCCTAACAGAGGATGAGATGATAGCCCAGGGATTCATATTCTTTGCCGCCGGAAACGTTACGGCAAACAATACAATGGCCTTCTGTTCCTATGAATTGGCACTCAATCCAGAAGTGCAGCAAAAACTATA